AATTAATCACTAGGGTGGATAACTCTTGAACATCAGTACACTAGCTTCCATCATTCATCTTGAGAGTAGTTATCCAATTAGCACATTAACTAGCAATCAAAGAGGTATATAAATACTTAGTATTACGATCTCCAAGCAAAACCCACTGTGAACAAGCCTTTTGACGCCAAAAAAGATTCTTCTTGCTCCAAAACTGACTCCAACTCAAGTTTAAGATGATTCGATAACTGGATCAGTGACTCAGACGACCGTGTGGCTAATGCATGATCAATTCTACGTAAAAGCGCCCATAATCGCCTCTTCTTCGTCCCTATATGACCAAAAACCTCCTTATTCCAGAGCTCCACCGAATCCCAAAACTTTCCAATGTTGTCCTCCCAAGAGTGATGAGCTTGCCACACTGATTCTAGAAACGATTGAAATTGTGGGTGGGTATTCCAATCCTCAATAAAGCAAAACGGACGAATATGAGGAGCACACTTTCCAATGTTGTCCTCCCAAGAGTGATGAGCTTGCCACACTGATTCTAGAAACGATTGAAATTGTGGGTGGGTATTCCAATCCTCAATAAAGCAAAACGGACGAATATGAGGAGCACACTGATCCTCCCTCAAGCCAATAAGCGGACAATGATCTGAACCCATCCTATCCAAGTGCAGAACATGAGAATCCATAAACGTAGCAGTCAATGTAGAATTAACAACACAAGGATCCAAACGTTTATACAGATTTCCTCTTGCCTAGGTGAACGGTGAACCACGAAAAACAAATCTGAAAGGCCTTGAGTAAACAAAAAGTTAGAGAAAAGCCTGCTTTCACAATTACAAACAAGGGCTCCCCTTTATCTCTCACTATCAGAAAGGACAACATTGAAATCTTCCCCAACTAACCAAGGAATGCCATCTCCAGGATTGAGTAAAGCCAATTGATTCCAGAGGTTCCTACGCCAAGGCTATTAGGACTAGCGTACACAATAATTAGCTAAAACTGGAATACCCTATCATTATCATGAAGCATAACATTTACGAACTGATTAGAAATTTGAAGAATATCAACTGTAACGTGGGTAGACCAAAAAAAAGCCAAATTCCACCGCTAAAACCACGTGCCTCAACCTGAAAAGAATGAGGAAAACCTAGTTTAAACACAACACCATCAACAATATGGCCACTGATTCTCGTTTCAAGCAACGCCAACATAGTTTGTCTATACTCACGAATAAAATAATTAAAATACGTACGAAAGGTTAGGCCAACAGCACCTTAACAATTCCAAAGCATAACCTTTATTAAGAAATGAAATTAAAAAGAAACGAACCTTAAAGTTCAGTCTCAACATCCCCACCCTTGGCGACACCAGTTGGAGCATCTGACGAATAATAATGCTCATCATCTGATGATTGAGACATGGGTGACCCATTCTGCAACCGATACTGCTCGCTACCTACTTCATCATGATCCAGAATATTAGAAATACGTTGAATCAATTTGGCGACTGTCATGTGGGATTTAACATGTACCCTATAAGACTTATGAGAGAATGAACCCCTTCATACTGATTTGCAATTGAGACCTTCCAGGTTTCACCATTCCTCGCTGACCTTCCCGACCATCTTTGGACATTCCAACCTCTCCTTGCTCCACTATGGTCACCACTTTATGCGAACCCGACTTGGCAGGAATAACATGCTAAACTATTTGGACATTCGAAGAATTTCCAAGAGAGACCGCCCGCAAAGTTACAAGTTTCTTCTTCTGGCTACCTTTTTTCCCCCAAGTTCGAAACCATGTAAGCATCATTTTTAAGGATCTCCCTTGGTGCTGAAATGGGTCTCTTTCTGAGAGGCGCAACCCTATCATCTTTCTTAACATTACCATCGCCCCCTCAAAAGAAGGAACATCATAACGAGAACTAGACCCATCTTTAACAGCAGGCTTATCGCCTGTCCAAGACACTCCCCCACATTATCACCCATTTGCCACAAGCATCCATGGTCCAAACAAGTTAGTCTCTGACAGATCTATAGAAACCACACTAGATGCTTCCACTTGTGGCGCAACCGCCTCCACTAGACTCTCATTGTCTACTTTATTCATCTCATAAGTATCCTTAGTATGCCCATAAACACCGCAAGCATAGCCAATATGTTGCAACCCTTCATATTCAATCTTCTGTAGCAAACCATCAATACGTTTGCACGAAAGTAACAATTTCGTAACGTCAACTATGATTGTCAAACGAGCAAACTTGGCCCTACCCCCAGCATCCGTATCGTAATCAATTTGGATCCTTTTACCAATAAAGCATGTTATATGCCAAAATAAAGCCTTCATATAATAACGGTATGGAAGACCCAATAATCAAACCCAAACAATCACCCGGGAAGGATGTTTCTCCAAAGTAGTGAAGCTCCTACTCCAAAGTTGAACTGTCAAATAGCTCCCATATATAGTCCACAGACCTTTTCATTAACACTTTTTTGTAGTCATTCACATCCGAAAAGCGAGCCAAAAAATAGTTATTATGAAGATCGATAATATGTAACTCCCCCACTGGCTTCCATAAAGCATGCACGTGATTTACTATAGCCTTGTATTCGATGGCCCGACCAATGAGTCTCTTGATGATCGCGTTATGCATGTTCGCATCTATCTGATCATGAACTCGGTCTGAGAATCGAATGTAAGGTATCACCCCGCAACGATCCATGATAATGTCCTCCGCGATAACCTTTACTTCATCATTTATAAAACTAGGTATCCGAGTACCGTCCCCATGCAATGAACCCGAACCAGTAACTTTACTTGCGTACGAAGCCTTCTCCTCTAAAGGTAATTGATGCACACCACAATCATCTTATTTTTAAAATTAAGATAAAAGTAAAATATATTTTTAATTAAAATAAAAATAAAATATACATTTTTAAATTAAAATAAAAATAAAATATCAATTTTTAAGTTAAGAGAATAATAAAATATGAAAAATAAATTATATTTAATAATTTAAGGTGAGAAAATAATGCGTTTAATAATTTTAGTTAAGAATATAACATATGTACAAAGTTAAAATAAAAATAAGATATATTTTTAAAAGTTAAGTTAGAAATAAATTATATTTTTTTAAATTAAGATAAGAATAAACTATATTTTTAAGTTAAAATAAAAATAAAATAAAATTTTAAGTTAAGATAAGAATAAAATATATTTAATAATTTAAGATAAAATTAAAATGCGTAAACTACACGGGTGACCACTAAACTATTACCCATTTTCATTTTGACCATCAGAGTCAATTAGACCATCTAACTATTTAAATGCTTCAATAAAACCAATGATGGTTAAATTTTAATGGAGGAAATGATATGGAATTTAAAAAATTGGCATAATTACTTATTTGGTCCCCAATATTTATATGTTCTATTAATTTAGTCATAATTTAATTTCAATTTAATATATTTAATCTCTCAATTAGATAGTGACATATGTCAACACATGATTCGGGGCTATTTTAGTTTATTTTATTTTCTACCCAATCAAATGGTGGCAGGTGTTACAACTTGAGTGTGTAGAAAACAAGTTAAAGAAGAGAAGAAGATGCTAAAGAGTTATAAAGTGATCTTAGAAAGGATTTAAACCCAACTTGAGAGAAGTAAAGTTAGCGCATTAGACCATTGGGCCAAGCACTCTACTTATTAATATTTTGAAACATTTTTTACTAAATCTAATTTAAAAATTATATGCATATAATTATGGTAAACTATACGGGTGACCATCTAACTATTGCTCATTTTCACTTTGATCACCGATGTTTCGATTTAATCAATCAGACCACTCAACTATTTAAATGCTTCAACCAAGCCATTGTTTGTTAACTTTTAACGGAGGAGGTGACATGCAAGTTAAAAAACTTGATATAATTGCATATTTGGTCCTCAATATTTATATATTTTATCAATTTTGACATAATTTAATTTAATTAAAATAAAATTTAATTTCCAATTAGATGGTGACACATGTCATTAACTAGTTGGAGGATATTTAATAATTATTTATTTATTTAATCTAATGATTTTTATTCAATAAGGCGATGATACATGTCACCACCCTATTAAAGAGAGAAAATAAAGGAATCGATGCACTTGGAAGGAATCAAACCTGCTATATCATTGGTATCAAACAACATTTAACCATTCTGCCTAGCCTCCAACTTAGAATTATATTACAACATGTTTTATATAACTTATTGTTGAATCAAGATTTTGATATAACAATAAATTACAAGATTTATTTTGGACTTAATTGAATTTATAAAAAAATTATAAAAAATAATTCAAAGTCCAAATTAACTTCAAAAATATATTTAAATGTTTTCCAACTTAGTCAAACCTTTCCAAAAACATACTCGATCATTTTCTCGCATTAAAGTCGAGTTTCCAAACATTTTTTGCTCAAAGGATTGATCCATTTGAAAAAGAAAGATTGATCCTTTGGATTCCAAAAACTTTTGGACCGATCCCTTGGATTCTAGAAACTTTTGGATCGATCATTTGTACAAAAGAATCAATCCCTCGATGAAAATGACCGATCTCTTTCTTGTACCAGTCAAATTATGAATGAACAAGATTGTTCCCTCGATGAAATGATCGATCCCTTTCTTGAAATGGTCAAATTATTTGAAAAAATCTATCTCTTTCACCAAAAGATCGATCCTTGTGCATTAAATGCTATTTTTAGTTGTAGGTAACAACTATAATGATCCCCAACGGCCAGAATTAATGGAGAATATATAAATTAAAGGTCATAACTTCCCAAGGTCAACAAGAATCATATTGAACCAACCTATCAACATCAAAGTATTATTTTGTGCTTAATTTGTCAAATTTTTTATTGTAAACACACTCGTGAGCTACATTATTTATTTTGCTCAAGTGTATATTGGGTGAGTGCTTATTTCAGTTGTTCATAAGAGTTAAAAATTGGTATCGTAGTAGGTCACAATCAATGGTTTAACAACCTTGTGAAGATCCTAGAAGTGTTCTTTTAATTCATGTCTCAATTGAGAAGATGACTTTGACTTTCGCTCATACTACCTCGAGGACTCTTACTCCATCTCGAAGCCTCCTTATTTTATTGGTGCCAACTACTCATATTGGAAGAATAGGATTAGTTTGTTCATTCAAGCTACCAATCTTGATGTTTAGGATGCAATCATCGATGGTTCTCCTAACCCTTCAAGAAACTAGTCGGAGTGGACCAATGAAGGTAAGAAGCTTGCCCAACTCAACGCTAAAGCCATGCATATTATCTTTTGTGCACTTGGCCTGGATGAATATAATAGAGTATCTTCATGCTATAATTCTAAGGAGATACGAGACAAGTTGGAACTAGCTAAGTCAAGAAGTCCAAGATTGACATTCTTACTCTTAACTACGAGAACTTCAAAATAAAGCCTAATGGAGACATAAAGACGATGTCTGATCGGTTCACTTCAATAATCAATGAGTTGAAGAACTTTGAGTAGGTCTATCCTAATGAATAAGTAGTGAGAAAGATGCTTGCCTCCTTGCCTACATCTTGGTAAGGAAAAGCAACTGCCATCGAAGAAGCCAATGATTTGGAGTTGTACACCCTCAATGAGCTCATCGATCATTACTCACTCATGAGGTGATACTCTAAAAGAAAAGGAAAGAAGAAGAGAAGATCAAGAAAAATAAGGAGGTAGGAATTGTATTCAAGTTCATCAGTAAGAGTAATCAAGGCTCAAGTGAAGAGATAGATGAAGATGAAGAGTTAGCCAAGCTCTTTAAGAGATTCAAGCGATTTATATCATCCAAAGAAAAAGAAATGAATCATGAATCAAAGAAGAAGAATGATCCTATCATATGCTATAATTGCCAAACACTAGGACATGTAAAGTATTATTGTCCCCAATTAAAGAATAAGGAATCAAGTAAGCCAAAGACGGCTTTTGTTGCTACTTAGAGTGATGAGGACATCATCAATGATGAAGAAGGTGAAGTAGTAAACCTTTGCCTTAAGGCCATCCAAGAAGATTCAAAGGTATCTTCTAACTTAAATGAATTAAATTCATATTCTTTTGATGAGTTACAAAATGATTATGATGAATTGATTTTGGAATTTTAGACCATGGATTCCAAATATAAAAAAAAATATAAATTTAAAAACAAAAATGATTCTCTTTTGAAAATTAAATTGGATTTTGAAAGAAAATATGAAATTTTGAAAAAGGATTTGAAGCATTCAAAATTGAAAAATGAAAATTTTGAAAAACAAAATTTTTAATTTAAAAATTAAGCTTAACAAAAAAAATATTTCTAATAATTCATCAAATTCAATAATTTCAGAATGTTCACATTGTCATTATCGTGGTTATAATTCTAATACTTGTCCTATATTGAAAAGAAAATTTTATAAAATAAGACAAGTATGGTTTCCTAAGGGAAATAGAGGTATTGAAACTAACAATCAAGGACCCAAAGCAATTGGGTACCAAAAATCAAGTAAGTGTCTCTTATAGATGTGTTGGAGCAATGAAGAACAATGTCAAGCTATTTGGAGGCTCTAAAACATACTAAGCAATGGAACTTGAAGAAAGGGAGGCCTAACAAATCAACCTTTATTCTAGTGGTAAAAAGTTTTTATTTTTCATGAAATTTTATGCTTTGTATGATTTAAAAATGTTTATATGCATAATTGTGTGTCCCCATATAATACTTAATTGTAATTAGTTAGGGGGAGTTATTATTGCATGAGTTGCAATTTTATGGCCTTATATGTTTATGATGATGATTTTGGCCTTAAATTTTGCAATATTTTAATGTTGTTGTGAAATCATGTTCTTCATGCTTTATATTGATCATATATGTTGATTTTGAGAATTGTATAATTAAATGTATCAAAAATTGAAAAATGCATGTTTAGGATCTTTAGAGCCATTGTATGTTTGTGTGACTTGATTTGTGCGAATTGTGGAATAAATTGACCAATAATAAAAATTTATATATTTTGATGATTCATGCACATTTAATATCCTCTAAGTCATTAAAACTAATTCTCTATCAATAATATGACTTAGGTTGCATTAAATTTGAGTCTTGTGTTATTCAATTTAGTCATCAAAATAAAAATACGATTTTCCAGGAAAATGATCGATCCATTTGAGAAAAGGATCCATCTCTTTGCAAAACAGACTGATCCATTTTTCAAAAGGATCGACCCCTTTATGTGAATGATCGATCCCTTCAAGCCAAATGGGTGGGAAAAGATTGTTTTAAGCTTGTTTATGCACATTTCAAGCCTTATTTGGATCCAAAATTACCCAAAACACTCCTAATCTCAAATTTCTTCAAAATCCTTCAACCCTAATCATTTTCAATTGGGTTTTATGTGAAAATCAATCCTCTTCAGTCCTTTCAATGAATCATTGCGTCAATTTGTAGGTATTATCACATTTGGGTATGAAGTTTTCAAAACCCTACTTTTCAATTTTTTTTAAATTCAAAAATTGGGTTGAATTACGTGGTAAAGAACAAATTTTAAATTGTTTATCACTTATTCTTTTGCATGGAGCATTACCCATAACCTAATTTTTTCAAAAATCTCAAATTTTATCCTACACCTAAAAAGTGTTCGATAAAAGTTCCCAACCAAAAATCACCTTCAAAACTATTTGGCCTTACACCATTTTCTATGAAAAATTTTAGTTTAAATTCTTCCTAAATCATTTTTGAGAATCTTTAAATATTCTTTTTGGTTTAAAAACACTTTCTCTTCAAAAAAAATCAAAAGGCCAAAAATAAAAACAATAAAAGGAACAATCCACAAGCAACACTCCAATTGATTCTTGGATTAACCAATGTTTTCAAAACTCCAAAGCTTGTGAGTGTTTTGAATCGTTCTTTGAGTATCGTCCTACTAAGAAAACTCGAAAATCAATTTAAATTTTTAGGAAAATTGGATTTTTCTTACGAACAAAACTTAAAAGATATGATACTTTTTAGGTTTATAAACCTTTATGGCCCTACTTGCCCTTTTTTTGGTTCAAGATCTTTACTTAAATGCTCATGTTTCATCCGCTTCTTGTTATGGCACCATCTATCTAACCATTGTCTTGTATCTTATGGGTTAGACCGTCACCATTATCGTTGACTTCATCGCCTAATCTTTTGACCTTTTTCTTACCGGGGATGACAATGAAAAAGGCCCATTTTCTTCCTATATGTGCCTTCTAAACATTAGAGCCACCATTTTCTCCCTTAACGATTGTTTGCTTCATCTTATTGTCTCTCATTGCATTTGTTCTCGTGGCACAAAATTTTCCACCGTCTGCGAGAGTGACTATTGGTGGATGTTTTGCATCCAACAAGGTCACAAGCTCCAACTCGCTAGCATGACCTTCAACGACATTGTGAGTATGATCAAGTCTAAAGCTCGACCACACCTAGTATATGGGATGTATCTTAATCACTTGTTTGAGCTTCTCGATGGCAAAACTTCACACGAGATTAGCATATTCCCTTTCGATGAGAGGATCATTAGTCTAGGAACGACGACAAGATCAGTTATATGGAGGACCTCGAGGGATCCATGTGTTAGGTTCATAGTCGCCATGGAGAGTATATGGATGATGATCCCGATGGAAAATATTATGTAGAGGAGGCTTATAAGAGAGTGACTCGTGTAGACCCGACACCTCCCGTGAATTTTTTTTCTCGAGGTTTTGAGGAGAGGATGCTTTATTCTTTTGATTATTTCTGAGCCCATGTCGACTCTCGATTTGATGTGATCGAGGTTCGTTAGGATGCTATTGAGGCTCGTATGATCGAGTAGGTTCGAGTGATCCAATGTAAGCTTGATGGATTTTCATTCCCTCATTCATCACCATCTTAGTTCATGCATGCATATCATATCATTTTCATTATTGGATTTTTAGACTTTGCTATATTTAGATATTTGACTTTGGGTGTTTGGTATTATGAACCTATGTTTATTTAATATTTGATGATTTTTGTGTTGGATATTTGAACTTATATGCATTTGATATTTTGGGATATTTATGCTTTTGGTACATTAATATACTTATCTTTGATTCTAGCTTGCTTTTAATTACTTTATCTCCTTGTTATATTGTAATAACATTGTGAATTATTTTTATATAACAAAAAAGGGGAAGAAGTAAGTGTAAAATTAAAAATAATTTTTCATATTAAAATTTCAAATTAAAATTGGAGCTAATTATTTTTATAAATTCATAAATCCTTTTATTATTTTTCAAAGAGTTTTGTCATATCAAAAAGGGGGAGATGTTGAACTAAGATTTTGATATAACGATAAATTGTAAAATTGATTTTGGACTTAATTGAATTTATCAAAAATCTATCAAAAATAATTCAAAGTCCAAATTAACTTGAAAAATATGTTTTAAATGTTTTCCAACTTAGTTAAACCTTTTCAAAAGCATACTCGATCATTTTCGCACTTTAAAGTCAAGTTTTCAAGCATTTCTGGCTCAAAGGATCAATCCCGTAGCAAAAGGATTAATTTCTTTGACCAAAGATTGATCCCCTTGAAAAAGGTTCGATCCCTTGGATTCTTGGAACTTTTGGATCGATCCCTTGTACCAAAATATCGATCCCTCGAGCAAAACAATCAACCCCTTGATGAAAATGATTGATCCCTTTATTGCAACGATCAAAATTATTTGAAAAAGAATCAGTCCCTCTCACAAAAGGATTGATCCTTGTGCATTAAATGTTATTTTCGGTTGTAGGTAACAACTATAATGATCCCAACAACTCCTAACGGCTAGAATTAATGGAGAATGTATAAATTGAAGGTCAAAACTTCCCAAGGTCAACAAGAATCATATTGAACTAACCTACTAACATCAAAGTATTGTTTTGTGCTTACTTTGTCAAATTCTTTGTTGTAAACACCCTTTTGAGCTTCATTGTTTATTTTTCTCAAGTGTGTATTGGGTGAGTGCTTAATTTG